ATAGTTGTGATTCGTTTTGCTGGCTATAGTTTTGGGACAACATTGCATAAGAGAGGGTTGTCGACCGAACAGTGTTGGGACTCACACTCATTATGCGTTCAGGCGCAATTGTATCAACAATCAAGGACCATAATCGCTCATTTCCTTCCCCGTTTGACTTTCCGAACCCATTTCGTTTCCAGGGGTGAAATGCGATTTGACAACAGAATTGATGTGCGTAGGCATGGAAGACTGAAACGGCGATGCTCAATCTAGGAGCGATTTCGGGGATAAGATTGTACTTTGTTCAAATATCAGAGGTTGTAGTTGCAGACCATGCGAGGCCATACCTTGGCGATCGATCGATCAAGAACACACCCAACATCATACATTAATCCAATAGTGGCGTTTGAGGGTAGTTGGCGGCTAAGTGCAAGGAGCATGGCAATCGAAAAGTGCTGCTGTTCACCCGGAGTGCGTACATCGCAGAGGAAAAGGGGGATGTCATGACGGCATATGGTTGCCATCAGGCCCTTCGAACGGAAGGTATCCGTTTTTGAGGCTGACTGCTTTCCACGTTTCGTGGCTCTGTGTGATTCTTCGCATTCATCAATAGCACCATCTGGTACAAGGGATGAGGGACGAGATACTTCCGAACAGCCTCTAGATGCAGCTCGTGCATCAGAGATATGGCGGGCAGCTTCCTCGATTTCGGCATCGGTGAGGAATGTGCAAGTTTCATTCCAGGGAAGAATCATCTCTCCTCCAACGAACATGTATTGCTTATGTTGCATATTACCATCCATGGCGACGATGACATCAGGATATCTAGGGAATCGCTTAGTATACCTGTTCCCGAAGCATATGTATGAGAGGACTAACTCGTTGGCTGAGTTGCCCCACATCGAGCCTCCAAAACATTGCGGGCATCTCGCGCGGAGGTATGGACTTGCGCTGCTGTCGGACGGGTTGCGAATCAGCTTTGTTCGCTCATGGACCATCGATGGAAGGTCCGGTGACGTCCCTATGGAGGTTGGGATGCCGTGGTTAACGGTCATCACGCCATGGGATGCAGTGACCGATGGATCGCCGTTGTGGGCAGGAGCGACATGGGTAAACGCAGCGGACTCGACCGGCGCGGAACGACATAGCGGTGCATCGGGTGCCGCAGGGGATGTGGGTAGGAGAAACTCTCTCTCCGTTTCAACCTCTACCGAGTCACGTAGGGCTTGAAACCATGTTATCGCCTCGCTAAACGACTGCAGAAAGGGGTCCTATATGCGCGCCGGATCATGAAGGTGCCAATTCCCGACATGCAACAAATAGATCTTACGTTGTGGGTGAATTCGTAACCGTTCTCTCGTAACATGGCAAACAAAGCGGCATGAAAGGAGGCAATCGGGGTGTACGAGTCCACATGCAAAGCTGAATACAGCGAAAGGACGTCGAAATGAAAGGCAACTTGGGGCGTTACAGGTGACCCTGGAAAGTAGCCAGACTGGATGATGCTAAGCGGGAGAGTATTGGACGGACATTTGCAATATTCGAACGTCCGCCGCGTGGCACCTGGCTCGGGGTCATTGGGACACTGCTAAGGGAGGTCAGAACGCAAACGTACCTGAGAATGCGATCGTCATGAGTGAATGAAACTGGAAAGATGTATTGCAGTGGGAGCACAGCGATGCTGCTGGTGTTTGCAGTTTTCCGTTTCTATCATACGACGTCTCGCTGGGGGCGGCAAGGGGCACGCGTCCTGCCTTCTTCGCCTCTAGACCTAGATAGATTTCCACCGCTTTGTGTATTACATCGCGGCGCCAATGGAGCCATGCAACTTGCTTTTGCGGATTTCGTAATGCTCTCTTGGCCCGCTTTCGGGAAGCTGACCGCAACAGTGTAGGGGACAGAGCAGTGTCTGGGCCCGAAGGAGTGGGCTCTGCGATATTTTCCAGCCAACCCTGAGGGGATGCTTCCCATATTGGTGATTCCTTTTTTAGAGCTGGCGTTGAAGGGGGAGTCGAAACATTGCTGGCATCCGCCGACATTGCATTTCCTACGTGATCGTGGCGATTTGGCACCTGCCACCAATGCGTAGGCTCAATGCCAGGCCCCCAGCGTTGCGTCATCACGGTGCCGCTGGCGTTTGCTATCTCAACGCGTCGTGACGGCTGGGAAATAGGGACTTCAGCGGCTGGGACGTGCTTATGTCCTTTCTTTTTGGACGTTGAGGGTTCGGATTCAGGTGCAGATTGGGGGCCAAGGAAATCGGCATATTTTTTAGGTCTTTTTAAATTATACGGCTGATATTTTTTCACAGGCGAAGTAGTAAGGGGTGGAATTACAGGCTTATGCCTCGGCATGGGAGTAGCTGCTAAAGAAACTAATGGGTTCGGGTCAAAGGAGCAGAACGGGATAGGTCTCCCCCAACAAGTGTGGGTATATCGGCCGAGTTACGCCGGTAGCCGACCTGTAAGAGAGACATGCACTCAGCTGCATATTCATGTGTGTAGCTGTAGTACATACCAATAGGAACGGACACCAAACGGGGCGATTTGCGGCGAAGAAGGGCGATTACTGGTGCTCGCTCGGCGCTGAGGAATATATGTATAGCACGGGCACTGGTCTTATAAAGGTCTTTGGGTATTGGATATTCAGTGGCAGGCAGTGGCGAGGGCACACGTCGGGTTGAAGTCCCAGCCCAACTGTGCCGTTTCTGACGTCGCTTTAGCGCCGATTGAGGGGTGCGTGGTTGCTGGACAGCGGATATGAATACGGTCCCACTGATACGGATTGGACAAGAGGATAGTGCGCGATACGAGAGTGTAGAGGATCGTGGCGAACACCCAACAATTCTGAGATCTTTTGCACCCGTTCGATGACAAAAGACGACGCACACAGCGTTTGTCGCCGTTTTAGGGATGTATGAGCGCAGACGGCGAGATCTGAGGGTCAGTGCGCAAGCAAGCAGGGAGGGGAATTGCGTGTCGGTGCGTAATGCAATACACCGTTTGGGTAAGATGATTTGATGGGGGCCTAGGAAGGTGTATGTATGACACGAAATCGGAGTGGGAGATCGGCTTTTGCAGCGGGTGGCCCAGACGAACCAAACAACTGCGAGTACCAGGGGTGCGTGATTGCTGGACAGCGGATAGCGAATATGAATACGGTCCCACTGATACGGATTGGACAAGAGGATAGCGCGTGGTGTAGAGGATCGTGGCGGATACTCAACAATTCTGAGATCTTTTGCACCCGTTTGACGCCCGTTCGATGACAGAAGACGACGCACAGAGCGTTTGTCGCCGTTTTAGGGATGTATGAGCGCAGACAGCGAGATCTGAGGGTCAGTGCGCAAGCAAGCAGGGAGGGGAATCGCATGTCGGTGCGTAATGCAATACACCGTTTGGGTAAGATGTTCTGATGGGGGCCTAGGAAGGTGTGTGTATGATATGACTGGACAGCGGACAGCGAATATGAATACGGTCCCACTGATACGGATTGGACAAGGGGATAGCGCGTAATACGAGGGTGTAGAGGATCGTGGCGAACACCCAACGGTTCTGCTCGCTGAGATCTTTTGCACCCGTTCGATAACAAAAGACGACACACAGAGCGTTTTAGGGTGTATAAGCGCAAACAGCGAGATCTGAGGGTCGGTGTGCAAGCAAGCAGGGAGGGGAATTGCGTGTCGGTGCGACCGTTTGGGTGAAAGATTTTGATGGGGGCCTAGGAAGGTGTATAGCTGTCGATGTATGGCACGAAATCGGAGCGGGGGATCGGTTTTTGCGGCGGGTGGCCCAGACGAACCAAACAACCGCGAGTACCAGCGGTGCTAGGTGCAACCTCCGGCCCTCTGCAGGTGTCTCCACGGACAAGCCCCAAATCCTCGCGCAGAATATACAGAACGGCCTGGAGAAACCGTTACTCTACGTAGACGGTGTACTCAGAGGGCTGGGTTGATTGGGGGGATCCCTGTCGTTAACCGTGGTGCACTAGCAACGCGCTAAGCGCCTCCAGTGGATTTCAGTTAAATACAAAGAGTGGTCCTTTTTAATGATATCTATAACGAGATTGGAGGCGAACGTAGTGCGTTCTGTTAGGTGCAGGGCTGGGAATGATGCCAACGACGGATTTCGAGCTTACCGAATATGCCACTTATGGCAATAAATAAGAAGTAGAACACCCAAGGAATAGAGGACGGGTCTGTAGTGCAACGTACGGTTATCCTGATGTTGAGGACGTCGATCGACGCACCTTACCTACAACGACGTTCACGGTTTGTGAATGAAACGGCTGGCCCGGCTTTGGCCGAGAGCCCGTTTCGGGGACATGCATACCCCACAATTGAATTGGTTCTCACGGGGATGAAGGTGGTCAAACGGGTCAATATTTAGTGCCATATTGATCGTTGTTTAAAACTTCGATAATTTAGTATGCATGATGGCATATACATACTGTTAGATCGACGGATCGTGAATATGGATGCTATCCAACCCTTACCATCTTTGTTGTTGTTTTTGTATCCCCGCAGCCTCGTTATGACGTGGCAGTTGCGGCCATCCCATCTCAATACAGCGTGCATACATGGGGGGATCATCCATACATGATGAATGTGCCTCTGGGTGACTGGGCTCCTCGGGTTTCGTGTCATCGGGCCCGGGAGACTATCTTTGTTTTAGCACTACAACAATATGTATTTACATCGATAATTTCTATCTTTAGCCATCCCAACCGGCTGAGCGATAGAGGCTGGTATCCTGCCTACGGCTGAGCTGGTGCTTCAACATATATGTGGTGACTAGCAAATGAAGTAGTCGACGTGGTTGCACAGCAGAGCCTTTACGACAGCGGTAGGGAAAAGACGCGCGCGGTGTGGGGCCGCTCGGTTCCGTTGAATGTATCGTGGCGGAGTTGCCCGAGCTCATTACTTCATCACCACTTGTACAACTTGCATTGGCTCAGAACGCCTCTATCATCTTTGAAAGATGTCGACCAACGTTGATTCACCTGCAGCCGAGAGTAATTCGCACCTCGCCTTTGAGGATGGCGATGTTATTTTACGCTCCACCGACGGCGTTGAGTTTCGCGTGCACAAATATATCCTCTCCATCTCTTCTCCATTTTTCTCCAGCATGTTCACTTTGCCACAAACCAGCGGTGAGACGCAGACTATCGAGATAGCAGAGGACGCTAAAACCCTCGATGCACTCCTTCGTTTCATCTATCCGACATCCGGACTGCGCCGTATCGAGAATTTGGAGGAAGGGATTTCGATTCTATTTGCTTCAAGGAAATATCAATGCGATAGGGCCACGACCTTAGCGTCCAGAGACTTGGAAAAGATTATCGCTGCTCGTGGAGGTGACTTAGATGCATGGGCCCTTGCGACATGGCTTGATATCCCCGATGCCATTGAGCCCGCGAAACGCCGCTTCATCAGCTCTTACCAAGGTTTTAGTATGCCAGATTCTTTAAACCATATCACCGCAATGGATTACGCGAAACTCTTAAAGGAACAGAAGGAAGCCAGTGTTGCACGTTTATAATTGTACACATCGTCTTTACCTGGTTGCAGCATGCGCCCCCCCCCTCTTTCAGTGAGTAGGCTCCACTTTGTAGTGGATGAGTTCTCTTCGATTTTTGGCACGTATATACGTATTTGACACCCCGATCTTTCAGGTATCCTGACTTGAAAGTTTACAATTGCGACATGTATGTGCGGATCGCCTCTCAAAATTGGTGACCCCGTCGTCCTGCAGTTCCTTCTGCATGTGGGGGTTCAGATTGGTGGAGTCAAGCTGTATTATCCATCCTCTTAGTCCGCGATATCTGAGTGTGATGTGGACCCGCTAATGCAGTGGTGGGTATGCGCAAAGAATCTAAGGTGTCATCCTACTCCACGGGATCTTGCCGAGCCACTCCACCATGATGAGTGCCGTATCCTCGCCCGAGTCTCCATGCATTTACACACCCTGGCACTCACAATCGGGATCTTGTATGCTCCTCGTTACACAAACTGAAATCATCATTACCCATTCCATTAAAACACAAAGTCGAACTGTCTACATACACATTTCTGTTCAGGGAAGAAAGTGGAGTTTTCTCCTAACACAATCGGCCCGTATTTCCTGTTTGACGTTAACCTACGTTGTCGGTTGATGAGTGGTCATCGTCAAAGTTGCGAAGCAGAGGTATTACCTCTTTGGCAGTGGCAAACCGGAATCACTCGGTAATATGGGGTGGGCTCATCAGACGATAGCTATGCCAATATCAAACACAGAAGATTGGAGAAAAAGCAGCAAACATTCTTCATATGAGTTCAACCAGTAGTTGTACTTTTTAGAATGGTAGTGATTTACGCTAGCATGTTACGCTAGGGCACATGAGTGTTGAGACAAACATATAGAACAAGTGGAGTCTCACCTCAGTCAACCGTTGTTGAACTGAGGGAGACAAAAGCGAAAAATTGTTCACTGCAGTCGCCTCAATGGCGCACTGACTTGGGTAGCAGGAATACCCAAAAAAGAAAGATTACGCCACAGGCTCAACATCATGTTGTGAGTTGGCCACAGCACACTATCACTCCCAAGAAATACAAGAATTTCAACAGTACTGATATGGTGTCTCTTTGGTGGACTTGTAGGAGAGTGCGGCGATTTTCCCAGAAGCAGTGCGGTAGGCAGGTGACCAGCCTCTCTTAGTGGGGTCAGTAATTGACGGCATGTAGTTCCCGAGAATATGTATTTGTTTCCCTGACTCGCACTTTCGCAAGAGAAAGATGGCTGAAGCGTGGACCCACCGGTGGATAAACACGCCCAACCCCCCGAAATCAGGATTCTACACAGCCAACCAGATGGCACCGAAACTCAAACCCACAAAGCACTTCAGCAAATCTGGAAGAAAGACCTTCAGCCAAGTCACACAATTCCGAACAGGCCATGCCCACATCGGGGAATACTACCACTGGTTCGGCATCACATTGGAGAGCAAAAAGTGCCAGTGTGGCAAACCAAGTCAGATGAGGACACACATCCTAGTGGAATGCCCCTGAACGAGAAGGCATCATCACATACTGGGCCACGGCAAACAAGCTAAGTTTAACACCCTCATGGGCAGTGCGAAAGGCATGGGGAGACTAGTGTCATTCATCAGCACATCCAAGACAGGTGACAAACGAAGCATAGACAGAACCTGACACCCACCGAGGAACACCACCCCCAGGTAACCGACCCATGTCGCATTTCACTTAATTATTTCTTACTTTTATTACCAACACAACGACAATACCCATGGACACTACAAGACCCGAGGACCACTGACACCCGATGACACCAACCAGAATACCCATAATGTAGAGATGATCCCCCCATGTACGCCACGGTGGTGGTGGTGGATCTATCTTATTACCCCGCGGCCTCGTTGTGACGTGGCGGTGTAAGGTCAGGATAGCTGCACAGCCTGCACTGCCACGTCATCACGAGGCCACAGGGTATTTATCATCATCATCTTCCCTACTCATGAACGAGAATACACTTCGGCTGGAGGCAGAGCCCTTGGGCTCGGCGAACATTTAGTCATGTGAAAGCTTCTATAAGAAGCTCGAAAAATGCAAGGAGACTACGTTCGAAGATGAACCCTCTGGTTGATTGGATTCACTACCTACATATCTGTTCCGACATCGGGCTGTTTCAGTTGTAATCCCTTTCGGAACACTTGGGTCTGCTTAGATGTGCTCCACCAGGCCTTCACTCATTACATAATGAAGGGTTGTCAAATGTCCCTCTTTCGGGTATGATTCGCACGCGCGCTTGGCCTTTGTGCCTTTACTGTTTCTTTCATGATGCTGGTTACGAGCCCCGGTGTTGACGAGGCAAGGTGAATCTGCAAGAGAATGGGAACATAGTTGTCCACTGCTCCATCTCTTCTGCTCCTCACTTTCGTACTCTCGTTCCTCCGCACATCTTCGCTCCCCGGGGACGGGTGTTCCATGTCCTTCGCGTCACAAGTGGCCTTTTGGCTTTTGGAAGCATTATGCTGTCTACATCAGTCTCCAACATCAGACGTACCTTTTCTCCTTCTCCCTCTTGGATGGTACACTCGGCACCACCTCCTGATTATCCGTTCACCTTGCGTTTTGCTTTGCGTCAAGGAAATTTTCCATCGCTCGAGAAGAAGCTATTGGACATCACCAATCCTTTAAGTCCTCGCTGGAGACAACATTTGGCAAAGCAGGAGGTTGAGGACTTCATGCGGCCAACCAATGCAACTCTGAGAGCGGTCGATGCATTTCTATCATCCTATGGAATAGACCTGCATGCTGTTCATCGCTCGCCAGCGCTGGATTGGATTAGTGTAAATGTGACGGTCTCCAAGGCGGAGGCCATCCTCAAAACCACATACATGTTATACTCAAACGTCTACTCTGGGAAGATGTTGCTGAGATGCGCTTCTTACGACCTCCCGAACGAAGTCCACCCCCACATTGACACCATCCAACCTACAAACTACTTTGGGCCCCCCGGGGAACGGGAGAGTGACTCTTTTAGGAGGGACGGTCTTGGTCGTTCATGCACGCAGCACTGCGTGGATCCCCTTCATCTCGCCTCGCCTCACCTCGCAATGGCTCGCTATTCGGTAAAACCTGTGCGACGGCGAAGCCAACCTGGCTCTGTTGATCCACAGTATCTCATGTCGGTTTATGGTTTTATGAACTACACCCCGTCATCCAATCGAAATCAGATTGCAGTCGTCGAGTAAGATTGTGTCCAACGCCCAGGCTCCTTATATTCATGGCTAGATGACCTTCATTCCAGTTTTCTCGGGGATCGTTTCAATCTCGACGATATGAAATCATTCTGGACAAAATTTGCGCCTTATGCAATGAATAGTACACCGTCGATCGAGAATGTAAATGGTGCGTCCCTGTGACTCTCGTTTATGCTGTAGCCCATTTCGTGTTTACAAGGAGGATCCTATCCCCAATACCCGGGATCAGGTACTTATGAAGGGGTTAGAATCTCATCCCTACTTCAAACGCCACCCGCTAATTCTTTCTGAAGAATTTAGATTTTCAATATGTCAGCGCCCTGACCGTAAGCATGTGGCAGAATTATTCTTGGAATCGTCCCGCTGCTGAAATGTACTGTCTTCCTCAAGTATCCAACAAGAACAGGTTTGTCCGCTACTTTAAACACCTGATCAGACATTGACTCACGTCCACCAAGTTATCTATAGCACGGCCGGACTAGGACCCGGGAGCACGAATAATGAACCGTGAACGTCTATTCTGATTCCAAGTTCATGCCTAACCGATACTATGTTTTTTAAGATATGACGTCCTATTGTCTTCCTTGCTGGCCAAAAAGGACCGCGCGCTTCCGACCACAATATCTATAAGCTATGGTACGTGACTCAGAATCCTTGGTCTTTGGTGCTCATACATGAATGATCAGCGGATGATGAAAATTCGATCCCCATTGATTACGCCACACGAATTTGTCAAATGTACGCAGAGCTTGGCGTTCGGGGCGTTAGCGTCCTTCACGCAACTGGCGATCACGGGGTGGGAGGGACTACGCCTTACTCTTGTCAGAATACGGGAGGCATTTTTGTACCGTCATTCCCTTCAAGTTGTCCTTAGTGAGTATTTGGTATTGGAGGTACACACACAACGATGACAATTAGTGTTACCGCTGTCGGAGCAACCCGCTCATGGCCTGAAGTTGCGGCGGATTTTAGCGGAGGAGGCTTCAGCAATTACTTCGTGAGGCCTTCGTATCAAGATGAAGCCGTGTCCTACTACACAAGCCGGATGAACGGTCGGTTTCAAGGTGGGTCAGTGACCTAATTTTCCTGGCACTTTGTTGGATCCTTGTCTTAGGCAAATATAACGATCAAGGTCGCGCATACCCCGACATTTCTGCTCTAGGAATGACCTATCAATGCATTTTTAATGGGACCTTTTTTGCTTTCGAAGGTACCAGTGCATCTACACCCACAGTTGCTGCCATCGTAAGTATCTCAACATGAGATTCTGCCGTGCGTCATGTTTACGGAGACTAGGTATCGCATCTGAACGACATGACGCTTGTCAAACAGGGAAAACCACTCGGATTCCTGTACGTCCTCACCGATCTCCTTCAACCATTTCCTAACACTACCTTGAAGCAATCCACTGCTTTACTATTTGCGGGGCAGGGGTATGAATGATATCACTGATGGTGGCAATCTTGGGTGCAACACAGCGGGATTCGAGGCCACAGACGGGTGGGACCCTGTTACAGGATGGGGTAAGCGTAATCAGTCGCTATCAAACTGGATACAGCACTACATAACACAAACAGGTTCTCCCGATTTCCCAAGCCTTGCGAACATCATAAGCAGCATGAATTCAACTCCGGGTGCCAGTGAGACGGTCGTCTCCATGTTCCCCAGCCCTACAAATTTGTCGAGAAGCGCTGCGCTAACTGTGGCCTCACCATTGGTGGGCTCCGAGTGGACACTGAACGCAGCGTACTGCACATTATTATTATTTCTTTTATGGTTCATGTAATCCGGGGGCTCATCCCATTTGACTCTAACGACCACGCAAGTAGAAATGCAAACTAATCAATGCTAGAAACTAATACAATTAATACAATTCAAAAATGACCGAGTTGTAGCTGGTATACTGGTTGGACAAGGCACAAGGAAATTTTACGCCACACATCGAGTGGGCAGACTACCGACAACATCAAAAGCTCAATAGTGAGACGCAAACAGTGAACCACTTGTACCCACAATAATGCAATCGAGATCCAACCAAACATTGTCAGCACGTAAGAGATTGGCAGCTGGGGGCGGCATGAGAACGGAAAGTTTGTCATACGAGAACGAATACAAACCAAAGTTTGCCTCAATGCTACGCAATAATGCACTCGGGCTGCACGTAGCCTCCGCCGCCAAAGGAGACGGGGGTGTAGGCATCCTCAGCAGACAGACTGTTCTCGTCCGTAACGTTGGGGCTGGAAAGGAAAATGGTGTAGAAGAAATCCATGGATACACAAGGGTGTGGAAGGCGAGGCAGACAGGGTAGACACTGTGGACAATATACGAGAGTGCTCAAGATTGAAGTCTCGACTGCAGGATGGGAGCGACTTTTATATTTTGCGCTTGCAGGGTGGGCCAGAGCTCAAGAAAGGTGGCACAACTGTGCATCGAAGGCGAAGCATCCATAAGAAGTTACAAAAGCTTCCCCACCACATTGTCAACGAGGGCAAATCTGTCAGGTCAACCTTGGAGAACCCGGAACCATAGCGACGGTGTTCGGCCAGCAACCAAGATTAATTCCCACCCTTTGTCCACTGAATTGACACTTGGCACAACCATTTCGGGGCACGGCCAACCGAATAATAACTTGTGGTCTGTAGGCATACTTGTCGACATGCTATCGAGGGTTATGCAGCCGGCGTGAGAGTACATTTTACAGCAGGCGAAAAAAAAAATCGACACGCCCGATTTGGATGAATGACAAGGAGACAAGGGGGATCTTGTGATCATCCAAAAATCAGATTCGCCCCCAGTTGCCGACGCTAGCTCTGACATAATGATGGTGATGCAAATGAAGGAAGGCTGAAGAGGGTCACAAATACTAGATCAGTAAGGCTCCAAAATAGATAGCACTCATAGAGCCCGTGCATTGCAGCATTCCACGGACTTCATTAGAAGCAACTGAGAACGTTTCGAATCACACTATAGCGCATGGCTCATTCTCAGCGTTCGGCCGGCGATGGGGGCCTGTTGAGAGGGATAACCCAAGCAAGTGAAGATTCAGGCTGGAGAGCATGGCTAGCTCTCTGATAAGTAGGCATTCTTCAAAGGCATATCCAAGTTCTCCGCCCCTCATCATTTCCTTCGCTTCCAAGCATCCGTTTGCTGTAGCATCGCCTTGTGCACCCGTCTCTCCAGGAGAGAGAAAAGAAGAACAGCCTGACAGAGAATGGGGAACTTTGCTTGTCAGCGCTCAAGTCCCACCGCATAGAAAGGGTTTTATAGTTACAGTTGACAATTCGGATGATTGGCACGTATCTGTGAAGGATTCGGGAGTAAAGCCTGCATAATCACTGACAGTCCACCCGCAATGGACAGTCCCAGGCTGACGAATAATCGGCCAATGAGGCTCATTAGTTAGAACACGGACCCCCAAGACACCAGTTCCACGCTGCTGAGACATTCCCGCGCATTGGCGAGCCTCCTTCAATTGGAAGAAAACCGGTCTACTTGGCGATGTGTATCAGCGTTTTCACATCCAACGGCAATGATGAACGATGTATCGGAAATCCAAGTGCGTCGGTCACTGGTGGCATGGACGCCTCATGTCAGGCCTCCAATTATAACCTGCAGGCCAAGGCATCGCTCAGGAATGGTACGGGCTAGCATTCCCATTTACAAGACTAGCGAAAGCTGAGCGGTTTAGTAAGGTCCATCGTGCTGACAACGACTACTGCACTGTGCCTAGTTGTCAAGGCCGAATTAGAACCTTTCTGGTGAAGGTCAGGATGGAAATAGCATTGCACCTAAACCAACCCAGAGGTGGATAGATGCTGAAGCAAGGGGCTGCGAGGATTCGGATTGTTCATTTAGTTGTAAAGGATTTTGGGGCAATCAGCTGAACGAATATTTGCCTGGCGCACATAAGAAAGTATTCATTAGGGGCACTTCCTGGCCGTCAGTGGGATCGGTGAAAGCATTAGGAACGACATGTGAAAACGGGCGACAGGGCAGGTGGGCGTCTGCCTGCGATAAGTAAGCCGGTCGCCAAGGATCTCCGACTATGAGACCTACTTTTATATTATTCATATTGGAAAACCAGGCTACTTTTGTTGTGAGGGTTGGCCCCTCGTCGAGCCCGTAAGCACGTTCCGTGAATGGTGTGAATTTGCGGGTGCGGAGGAGTGTCGCCAATCTCCCAAGAGTTGTATTCCTAATTTGTGCCATTTTCGACGATCACAAGATCGCTTTGAAACACATCAACACGTGTTTCTCTCGTGCTCTGCTGAGCTGGTGCTTTAACAAACATACTCCCACACCGGCCGCATAACCCTCGATAGCATGTCGACAAGTATGCCCACGGACAAGAAGTTGTTATTCGCGAATACCAATTCAGTGGAGTGTCTCCGCACGTAATAACGCCGAACACCCGTCGCTATGGTTCCAGGTTCTCCGTCCATTTCGAAAACAGACTAGCGAGAATTTGCCCTCGTTGGCGTTGTGACGTGGTTTGTAACTTCCTCTGGATGCTTCGCCGTTGTGCCATCTTTCTTGAGCTCTGGCCCACCCTGAAAGCGCGAAATATAAAAGTCACTCCCATCCTGCAGTCGAAACTTCAATCTTGAGTACTCTCGTATATTGTCTGCAGTGCCTACTTGTTTGCCTCGCCTTCACACCCTTGCGCATCCATGGATTCATTCTACGCCATTTTCCTTCCCAGCCCCAACGTTATGGACGAGAATAGTCTGTCAGCTGAGGATGCCTACACTCCCGTTTCCTTTGGCGACGGAGGCCACTTCACTCAGCCTGGGTGCATCATTGCATAGCATTGGGGAAAGCCTTGGTTTGTATTCGTTCTCGTACGACAAACTTTCCGTGCCCCCAGCTGTCAATCTCTTACGTGGCTGACAATGTTTGGTTGGGCCTCGATCGTATTGTTGTGGGTACAAGTTCACTGTTTGCGTCTCACTATTGAGCCTTTGATATTGCCGGTAGTCTGCCCACTCGATCTGTGACGCAAAATCTGTCCACACAGTATCCCAGTCTACAACTCGGTCATTTTGGATTGTATCGTCATATAGTTTTGTAGTATTGATTAGTTTGCATTTTTACTTGTGTGGTCGTCAGAGTCGAAGTGGGATTCGAAGGAGCCCCTGGATTATATAAACCATAAAAGAAATAATAATAAGTACCACGTTGCGTTCAGGATCCACTCGGATCCCGTCGATGGTGAGGTCGCAGTTAGCGCAGCAGTCCTCGGCAAATTTGTAGGGCCGGGGAACACGGGGAACGACCGTCTCACTGGCACCCGGAGTCGAACTCATACTGCTTATGACGTTCGCAACCGCTCGTCAACCGAGGCTCGTCTGGTTGAGGTATCCGATCTGAGCGGTATTGCGTGTTGTGTGAGCCGAACTAGCTAAGGATTCGCTGTCCGGGCTTCGATCAGACCATAAGAACAAACGTTCATGGCATACTTGAGTAGACTCGCCTGAGCACGACATGAGGTTGTTGGATGACATACATCCAAGAGTGGCAACGTGAAGGGCTGCGTGCCATACATGATAATAAGGAAGAACAGGTGAATGTGGCCCAAAAGCCTTCTTAGGCTTTGCGCGCCTTTGGCCTCGCACATCGGCAAAATTCTGGCCGGTGGCAAGTTGGCCGTCAGCACCTGTGACGATGGACTGCTATCACAAAGCCACACACGGCAAGCTTGGTTGGCCAAGTACTTACGATCACGACAGAGTCTTGTTTGTATATGATATCTAATCACGCGCGCATTCCTCAAGAAGTTGGCCCCGCGTGCTCTGTACTGCTATGCCCGTGCTGGCATTCTTCATGTTGTCATGGAAGGGAGCGTGTTGAGGCCGCCTTGGCGCTGTTTCAGGGGGAGCGCTTGGTCATGTTGGAATTACGTGTATAATGCATTAATGTGAGACCCAGGAGGTCTTGCATATATCACTCCCTGAGCACAGCAACCATGCATACGTCTTCGCGCCAGTATGGAATGAATCCAATAGCCCGATCTAAGTCAAGTCGGAAATTCAACGTATGTCATGGACATGCATGTCTGTTTCGAGATCAGGCCACGTATTATTTGTGGGGACAAGGGACCGCTGTCTCTATATGTTGTCCGAGATGAATTACACATTCCACAAGTGACGTGAAATGACAAGAGAATAACATAACCATTGACACTGAGTTTGACTTCGGCGACAGAGCGGAGGGATGGTGTTGCCGAGATAACATAGGGATGGTTACTATGATAGAAGTATCTCTCGGTGAGGCGGTGCTCGCGATATCTCCTAAACGTACAGGTGATACATTCCATACGATAGGCACGCTTTTGTCGATTACCTACATTGCAGTCGAATGCCGTCCACAAGCTCCATCACGCCACAACCGGGGCTTATTAAATCAGCAACTATACTCCGCCGGTGGCACCACCGCAACCATGCCCAGCAACAACGCCCCGTGGACGTGCCCACGAGTGTATGTTGTCGATTCTGGGAAGCCTGCAGACCCCGGGGTGTCAGTGCTCCGTGGTTGCATGGCAGGCAATCGAAGGCGTCCCGACAGTAATATGGGCGAGGGTGAAATATAAGTAGTGGTAAGGAAACCTACGAGGGGCTCTACGCCGTAAAGTGCAGGGAGAGGAAATGCGGCTCGGTAGCCTAGACTTTGGGATTATATTCGGTCACACAATTCACCCTGCTGCTTAGATTATGTACGTCAAAATAAACCTCGGTCGATGAGCGGTCATCGTTGCAGTTGCTGAGCAGACGCATTGAAGATTGGCCTCTAAGAGCCATGGGAACATAAGACAGGCAAAGAATACGGTGTGTGCGACAAGATAACAGAACATCTATTTGGCAGTGGCAAGCTATGCGGGAGGAAGCGGCGAACGCTCTTGATAAGGGTTTTGCCGAGTCGAAGTGTTTCTTTGGTGAAGATACGGTGGCACTCAAGGGAGGCTGTAAGACTTGCAGAGAGCGCGGCAATTTTCCCGGTAGCAGTGCGGTCAGTTAGTAGAGCGACACGAGGATGTGCGTTCGCTTCCCTAGCGAGCGAGCGAGAGCACTTGCTAACTTTGACTGGGCTAAACTGGAAGGCTTGCCAACGTGATCTCTTCGTCCACCGTCACCAGGCTCGTATCAAGCATGTTCATCTAGTACTGTGTCGTAACGTGGTCCTCGGGGGAAGGAGCTGGTCATTCTCTCACCCATTTGATGAAAAATCGACCAACCAATTCTTACCCAGCTGCACGCGACTGCCCCGGAATTAAAGGAATCGAAATGAGCTTAATGCTGGAAGAACAACCCACCAAGCTTAGCTGGTTGCACTGGGTCATCGGTAAGATGGGATGCCTCTTAACTGGTCACCTTGTATGCTGGGCGGCCATTGGTGTGGTAATGTGAAGAGGCGGATGCTGGAGAGCTCCTCAATTCGAGCGCGACTCGGTAGTATGATAATATAGGGGCCTACTGACACAAAATAAAATACGATTGCATCCAACGTGCAGACTCGAACCAGACGGTTGACGGTTACGCGGTGGAGATCCGGGTTGACCGGTGGCTGGTGATACTCGAGAGGCGGAACATGATATAAGAAGCGAGTGACCGAGTAATTACAATGATCCGATTGGTAACCGGTGTGCTTCAGCGAGATTTCTAGGTGGGGCGCTACAAGCCAAGCTAGGGCTACGACAGTCCGAGACTCCACTTGCTGAAGATCTCCACCAGCAAGCCTCAAGGACTCCGGGAGGCCTCGTCTACCCGCAGTATAAGTCAGATCTAGTCATGACGATTCAAAGCAAGATACTAGACCGAGTGGGTAGCGGCTGCGGGAGATTGGAGGGAGACGTGTTGGAAAGAAAGTTGTTCATTGCACTGATTGAGACCTACTTCTCGTCTGGACAGTTTCATCTTCGCGCTGAATCTTAGAAGTTAAGAACCTGTTATCATGTGCCGGGCCCGGGCATCGTACAGTGCATTCCAGTAATGCTGCATAATCGCAATGCATACAGAGGTGGTGAGTTCATTTGGTCGCAATCGATGGGGGAAAATGTTGTTTTCTACTTAGGTGAACTGATGCAAAGATAAAGGCCATTTTATCCCCACTTTTGCTGATGCTAAACGAGGGAACTAAGAAACTTTAGGAGGTAACAACAAATCGCGCAATCCTGCATGGGTTAGAGAAATGTCAATGTCCGTGTTTGTCGCCTAGTAGTGGCCCACCTTTACGAAATATCCGTGCAATGTAAACCGTGTTTTCGCGTCGGCCACAAGGCTACTTGGCGAGAACTATTGCTGCAACACCGGGGGAATCCGAGTCAAATATTCGCAGAGCAAGAGGTGGGTTATAGATAATGGTTTTTACAAGAAGGTCCGAATCACTAACCAGAAGAGCAGGGAAGTGGTTATCTTTGAATATATCGACTGCCTCATATCAATGGAATCGGCTGTGATTCAAGATGATCCCAAATGAAGTCAATGCAGTTGAATCCGTAATATTGTAAGAGTAGATTCATGGATATCTATTCGTTGCATGAAGCACTTGTAGAGTAATGGATATGAGCGTTTTCGGGGTGGAGAATCGAAGCAATCCTTCTGAACCAAGTGTAAGCAGAAAGAAAGAACGGGTAACGAAGCGCAGGTCTGAGGCCCCTAAAACGCAAGTGAGCCTTGTAGGAAGTTAATAAATTGACGAGTTAGAGTATTGGTCGGTGCAAGGAACGCGAAAGCGGTCGCCGAAACGAAACGGAATGGTGCAAACGGGTTCAAGTAAAATTTCTGCCGCCATCTGCTTACGTACGCTAGCTGCCAGGCGCCCTGAATTGGGTTAGAGCTCAACAAATCAACGATTTTTCTGTGTATTCACCCGGATTGCGCACGTTCATTCTCGCATGGTGAAAACGACAAGGAGAGCACTCACCCGCACGGAGCGATACGGGTGGTTCGGTTAGGGAATAGATGAGATTGTTCCTACGTGAACGGGCCGCGGAAATTTGGGCAGTGTCGGGGCATTTCCGTCTCCTACCAGTAGAAGGGAGGGAGAACAGTGGGGAAAGATAATGTTCCGGAGCCATTGACCTCACACGCACGAGAGCGAGTGAGATCGCGGAATTGGAGATGCACCTCAGCAAGCTTTCACCTCCCCCGGGATATCACTTTTGAGGTGAGGAGACGAAACAATAGCCATGTGGCTGTCGTTAGCAGGCAGACTAACATGCTGTAGCCCTCCAACGCTCGAACGAGATGGATAGGAAGGTAAACGGAAGCAAGCGAGCATGGAAGGAACTTCCATTTACGGTGCTGAGTCGCCATATTCATATCTCTCACCTTCGCCTTATCCGTCATTGCAGATGAACGAAATGTCTCTCTGAGAAATAGCCATATTCCAGCTGGTGGTTGGGACGACATTCCGATTCTGGAGACTTTCTTAGACCTGGTCGCGGTAGGTAACCCCACCTCCTTGAAAAATGTGGAGCTGGTGCACGATGTTTATGCTCGTAACCGGGAAATATGCGTCAGCGTTCGGAGTCGAACCATGATTTATAGAGTCGCTCGTACTGGCACCAGACCCTCAACCATGCCAACAATGGGCACACAATGATTCATTTGCTGCATATGAGTCGGGGTCCCGCAGGCCTTTCGATTCTTACGACAAGCCGGATGTGTTCGATGTCCATCAGTCTGTTATGTGGCCTGAAGGTCAATGCCTCCATTGTTCACCGGAATGGAGGGGTAGAAGGAAATATGTCTCTCCATTCCAGTGAATTGGGGTTTGGATCTTCAGCAACTCCCATATTGGCCTGATGTCTATTGACAAAGTTCAGGCGTTCAGAAATGTAGCGCCGCACCAATTCCTTGAGAGCATCAGTGGCATTTACATCACACAACTACCACGTCAGGCAGCCTCCACCCTTGACAGGATTAGATAGGCGATGTCCGGTCGCGCAGGAAGTAGCGGGTCGAAGGGGTGGCTTGCAGCCAGTACGGTAAACGGGTACAGACTTGATATTGGGCGTCACTCGACGCGTGAGGATGCATGAACAGGAACGGGGGGCGCTTTCTGCAGCAAATGGGTCCCTAAAATTGTCAACTTCATGTGGCAGACGCAGTGAAAAGGTTATTGATATCGGCGTTTCCACCACTGATTTTGTAATGAACAGAAGCTGTTTGCGAACGCTAAAATTAAGCGCATAACGGAGGACACCTTTCTCAGTTATGGATTCAACGTGTATAAGCTGAGAAACAATCTCGCCACACAGGGGACTGGAAGCGCTAGCCACAAGATTTCCTATTCAAGAAATTTCCCCCAGCCAGACGCACACTTCTGCAATCGCTTAGTGCGGCTTTCCATTGGCGTGTTTTTCCTGTGCTTTGTGATGTCTGGTGTAGCTGCACCTTGTGGTTGTGGTTGTGCTTTCCCTGGGCACGTGGCGGACCCGGATTGGGGGTCCAATGTCCATCCATTCGGCGCAGGGCAGCCGGTGGGAACGAACCTTCCTCATTCATCACAATACCAGCTGATACTTAGGTAATCTTTGTTACATATCTCCGTTTTTTGGGTGGATTCCTGATGAGATGGGCTTGGTTCCTAAGTTTTCCGCAACGTTCGAATACCAGATCGCGAGCTTATCTCGCCCGTCCTCTTCCAATCGTTCAGCTCCGTATGAGCATTTCTCCACGCTCGCCGTCAACGGAATGATATGGTTCATGATCTGTGTCTCAAGAGGAATCCCTCAAAAAATCGGAGTTGACTGAATCGGCTGGGAAGATCTGGATCTCATTTACGAAATACCTAACAGCAGCTGAAGGGTCCATGTCGCATTTGTGGAGGCGTCGACTGGTGTTTTCTTTGCCACGAAGTGGCGTCGGCGACACGGTGCACCGTTACACTCTTCAGCGGTATATTCAGGAGTGCGGCAAATTTTGTGCCCCAGTGCAGCGATGGTTTCGGGGCATGACCTTGTCAGGGGTGCGCAAATTCTTCTACTATATAGAGTCAATTCGGTTAATAATCCACGAATAACCAATACACTGATGCATCACCTTGATAACCGGATCTTTCCTAGCCATCTTCCTAGCCAAAGAGTGAATATGTCTTCCCAACGGGCCTTCTCTCCCCCTCCTGGCATCGTCTTGTATCGTTCCCTGAACTCCTGCTCACGGAAATTGTTGCGGGAGGTTTTGAGAGCAATTTCGCGGTTGGACGAAGCCAAACGGTGCACTGGCTGACGAGAAATTTCGAAATTTGTGAAATATCAACTACGTATTCTGGGATCGTGTTCATATCGCTGGTTGGGATTTCGACGAAGAAAGTGGTCTAATTTGGAAGGTTTCATTCATTCTTGCAGCAGTCTGGAGCGTGGCCATCACAAAGAGAGGATTGAATAGATCTGAAAGGCATAAAAGCATGGTCTGAGCATTAGTTCTCCCCACCAGTTCCTTCTTCTCCCCCCCTCGCTCTCGGAACCCCGTCGCTACTCGCCTTTGCTGTCCTTGGATTGTCTCTCGACGCCTGGTTTGTGGCCATTCTGAACTCCTTTCACTCAATGGATGAAGGCCCTTGGCGTCCCACTCGTTGTCCACGTTGACGTTCCCCTTCCTGTACAAGTTCCCTGCCTATTACGCAACAACTCTGACGTTTGATGATCTCTGGGCTGTCGATCTTCGCTCACTGCACTTTGGCACCTTGGCCTTCTCATCGACCTGTGACCGTAGCTTCCATCTCTGTGCGGCCTTGCCGTGTCCGCTCGCTTCGTCAAGACCACTTATTGACCAGCTTCGCTTCTTTCCATCGTGACCATCGGATCAACTGTTACCTTCCTCCATGACAGCTTGGGATGGAGCCAATGTATTCTTGTCCGGGACTTCGAAGACTTGTTGTAATTGACTCCGACGCGCCTTGTGGATTCTATCGTCTAGGAAGCGAGCAACAACCAACTAAATCAAGTGCGAAGACGCATGGGGCCCTTTCAATCCGATGGATGCGCAACCGCAGAGCTTGCCAGTTCCTTTTTCCCTACGCCCTTGCTCCCGGAACTCTAGCCGTCACCATCCTTGCATCATCAATGTCTCGTTGGTAGCCACTCAAAACCTTTCCTTTCGCGACCTCAACACTATCGGATCCTGAGGCTGTGGGTTATATCACTTATGGTCACAGCTCTCATCTTCATGCAACCCGTCCACGTCTGCTTTGGCGAACTGCTTGTGGATCAGTTTTACCGGTCTACACATCCTGCTTTCCCTCTGTGACTGTTTGGGCTGCCGATGGACTCCGACGACCCGTTGCATACCTTATGGATTTGACGCACCTTGCAGGTTCCATAGACAGAGGGGAGTGGAACACAAAGCGGAGGCAAATTGAATACGGGAACCCATACACACCCTTTTCTATCCAATGGACGCACGGTGAGAAAGAACGACCCCCCTTCCTTTCTGCTCCACCATGTTTCTATCACTGTATGCTCTTGCCCCGGGCCGTTTCCCTTGAAGCTCTCAGTCTTTCGGTTTGGAGTACCCCGTCGGCAGGCTTCTTTCTGTGTATTTCGTCTTGGATCTTTCCCTTCTTGTGTAGCTCATCGATCAGCGTTATACCCTATTTCTGGACCATACTTCCAACAAAAGCGGCGAACACATCACTTCCGTCATACGAATAGTACGTACCATGATTTTCTTTTAGCTAGCAAGCAATATTCATCGAATTCGTTCACGCAGCGGTATGTCCTGTTTATTTCGGGAGAGTGGGAGAGCACTTCAGCGGGACGCCCTCGTGGCGTTGGTATGGACATGTTCCCACTGGCGCTTGCGCCTGTTGTCCATGCCCCTTTCCTGTTGGGGTGGAACTGTGCGAGCCAGTTGGCTCGTATGGTATTCACCCGACAGGTTTGGCCGTAAGTACCATTTCCCCTCTCACATTGAGAC